GTCACTCCCAGGACTCAGGGGGCTTCCCCAACAGCATGTCATTCAGTATCTCTGAAACAGGAGGCAGCTCACACCTGACCAGTTTCTACTGATTTATGTCCTCTGCTTAATCTGCAGGCTCCTGGCATAAAACAAAAGGGCAGTTCTAAGATCTGATTAAAACAAAGTTTCCTCCCTGGAATCAGAACTTTATTTTTAAATCCTCAGTTTCCTTTCCATTTTTTCGCATGAAAATAAATTGATAAGTATCACATCTGTGCATTCTATGTAAAAAATGTTTTTGAATAATAGAATGGCAAGTAGGAAAGAAATAACCAGGACACTCTTAGGTAAATATGAGGCCTGCTGCTTCCTGGCTGTCTAAATTTTTTGATCAGCTGGAACACCTGTCATAGGCTCTTACTATGAATCCAGATGGACCACTGAGTGACCGTGAGAACTGTTTTCTTGTTCAGATAGTTCACTGTAAAATACACGTGGGTAAAGGGATATGATGTGATGTGTTCTGCCCTCCAACAATAACTTAATATTTAATGCTGACACTTATCTCCCAAAGATCTAGTGTTGGGTCTAACCAAAGCAATCCAAAGCATTAGTGAAAAGAAGCTGGGTAGTGAGGTACACGAGCAAGGAAGGTGCTCACTTTCTGTTACTATAATGAAACAGCCGAGGCGAGAACTTTATAAAGCAAAGGTTATTCTGGCTCACGGCCCTAGAGGTGTGAGGCCCAAGTGTCACGTTTGGTGGTGCCCTTCTGGCTGGCAGAGACCAAGGTGGCACAAAGTATCACAAGGCAAGAGACCAAGTTTGTCTGTGGCTGTGGCCTCTGATAAAGCCACAGGACTCAATCACCAGCCCTATCCCAGCACGCTAATCAATTCAATCACTTCCCAAAACCACTCTCCCTCACCCACAACATAATTGGATTACGTTTCCACCTTCTGAGTGCCACTAACACAAGACTTTGGAAACTACATTTCGAGTTTGCAGGGACAAATACCCAAACCATAGCAAAAGGACATCAGGGACTTATTGTGGAATTAAAAAAAATAAAATGAATGGCATAATCTCATTTACATAAAAATGAAACAAAAACATACCATCTCTGTAATAAAGAGACCTGTTTTTATCTGTCCAGCATCTATCTCTCCCGTACCTAATCTGGGCACGTGCCCCAGTCCTGGTTAACCAGAGAATCCCCATGACTGTTCAGCGAGACTTGTCTTCCTGTTCTTTCTGCTGGCCATACCTCTGGAGGCCTGACTGCTGCTAAGAGGAGAAATCCCAAACGGACACCAAGCAGAAGCAAGCAGGATCCAGAACCAGGGACAGAGCCCTGACCAGCAGTCTGTGAACCCCCAGAGCCAGCTACTCTTAATCACACACTTGGGTTAGCTTTGTAAGACGTATTCAAGGAGGTGGGAGACAGTTTTATTTGCAAATGAACTGAATTTCTGCAAATGTCTATGGAAAATTCCCCAATGCAAGGACAATCTGAAAGATGCAATGTGGGGGCCGGCACTGTGGAGCAGCAGGTAAAGCTGCTACCTGCAGTGCCGGCATCCCCACATGGGCTCTGGTTCAAGTCCTGGCTGCTCCACTTCCAATCCAGCTCTCTGCTGTGGCCTGGGAAAGCGGTGGAAGATAGCCCAAGTGCTTGGGCCCCTGCACCCATGTGGGAGACCTGGAAGAAGCTCCTGATCAGTGCAGCTCCAGCTGCTGCAGCCAAATGGGGAGTGAACTAGCGGATGGAAAACCTCCCCCCCACTCTGCCTCTCCTTCTCTGTCTCTGCAACTCTGACTTTCAAAAAAATAAATAAGTCTTAAAAAAAAAAAAAAGATGCAATGTGGCCAGCCTTCAAGATGGAAGAAGCCGAGGGGTGCAGGCAGCCTCGAGAGAGGAAAGGCCTCTCCCCTGGAGATTTCCAAAGGGCTTGCAGCCCTTTGTCCCCCGCCCGCAGGCTTCCACTTGTAGCTCCCCACCCAAATAAGTTCCTCATTCTGAAATACTGAGGGAGGGTTTGGATCCATACAGTGTACACCTCTGAGGGGAGGTGAAAGGAGGGGATTTTATAATTTTAACACCACATGTTATGTTAGCTATTTGGAGAACTAATTGTAAGCATGTTTGAGAATGCAGCCAGAATAAACATCTAAGAACCACAGGGGCCACCACCCAGCCAGGACAGAGAGAATAGTGACTGCTTTGCAGACCTCACAGGGCAGCATCAACGTGGCTCATGGAGGAACTGCAGACAGCACAAGATCAGTCACGGGGCCAACACACTCTGCTGCGCACCACGGACCTGGCTGAGCCCTTCCTGCAAGTGTAACTCCCACTGGAAGGCTCTCTCCCACTGTGTGGGAGCCAGGACACAGGACTCAGGACTCGGGAAGTACGCAGGCATCTCTCTAAGTGTAGAGAGACAAAGACAGCGATAGAGTTCTTCCATCTGCTAGCTCACTCCTCAAATGCCAGCAACAGCTGGGGTTGGGCCAGGCAGAAGTTGTGAGCCAGAAACTCAATCAAGGTCTCCAACATGAGCAGAAAGGGCCCAAGTATTTGAATCATCACTCGGAGCCCTCCAGGGTGTGCACTAGCAGGAAGCTGGAATTGGGGGAAGAACCTGGACTTGAACCCAGGGATACAGGTGCCCCAAGCAGCATCCCAATGGCCATGCCAAACACCTGCCACTCGGATAAATTCTGGAAACCAATTTTGGACTCAGGGCTTGGGAGGCATGGAGAAGCCAGAATAGCAATCAGCAGAAGATTACAACGGAGCACATTTCTCAACAAGAAAACCAACAAACTGCCAACAAGTTGCTATGCAGCCTTGCTCTGCAAGGAGCGTGTACAGCAAGAGAAAAGACAAGTCATCCATGCCGCTCTGCGGTGCAGAAGGCCCCCTGCTGAAGCTTACAAGGCTTCCCGTGGGGACACGGGGACAGCAGGGGGGTGGCCACTCTGGGCTTGCTTCTCTCCCAGCCCTCTCTTGTCCAATGCTTGTGACTCTCGCCAGCCAGCAAGTGGGCAGAGTGTGCCAGCCGCCTCTGCTAATGGACACCCCACGTGGGAGGGATGTGCCACATATTCCTGGACAAATTCTCTTTATAGGAAAAAAGAACCCCTTTCTCCACAATGAACCAAGAAGCAAGTGCTGATTTTCAAAATGAACACATATCTATCTTTTCTAAGTTCTCAAGGAAGTTCATCTGAGACATTCTGTGAAGCTTACAGGAAATGCTGACCACCGTGGCTACCTACGGGGGCCTCTTTGGTCTGTCTCAAAGCCATGTCTCAGAAGGGCCACTGTTGGCACCGGCAATGTGGCACGGCAGGTTAAGCCACTGCCTGCTCTACCGACACCCCATATGGGTACTGGTACAAGTCCTGGCTGCTCCACTTCTAATCTAGCTCCCTGCTACCGTGCCTGGGAAAGCAGTAGAAGATGCCCCAAATGCAATGGCCCCTGCACCCACATGGGAAACCAGAAAGAAGCTCTTGGCTCCTGGCTTTGGTCTGGTCCAGCTCTGGCCCCTGCAGCCACTGGGGAATGAATCAGTGGATTGGAGACCTCTCTCTCTCTCTCTCTGCCTCTGCCTGTCTGTAACTCTGCGTTCAAATAAATAAACAAATCTTTTTCTTTAAAAAAAAAAAAAAATTAGAAGGGTCATTGTCCTTGAACCCCTGGAGCCAGCAGATCCTAATTACACACACAGTTCCTGCTACATTTGAGCGTGGGCTGGGGGTGGGAGACAGTCTTAAGTGTGCTGGAAACACATTTCTGCAACTCTCTGTGGAGAAGGCGGCCTGCACCCCCTCCCTGCCACATTTAGGTGCCAAGCGAGGGCGAGGGCAAGGGCAGGGCCAGGATCTGCACCAGCACCTTTTCCCTCCAAATGACCAGGAGGTTCATTTCGCTTGTGTTTTTCCCTCTCTTTTATCTTCCTCGTCTTAAACACTATGTCTACCACAGACTGAAAGAAAACATACCAAGGCCAAAGCCTAACATTTAAGGGATAGGAGTACGATACACAGGGAAGCAAGGCATCCCATCTCTGGCTTTTTCCATGTGTCTACCACGAATAAGCTAAAGTTAACTGTAGATTCTGCCTTAGTTTAATAATTGAGATAATAAATTTATTTCAAATACAAAACAGAATTTTAGATGGTCTTTTGCCCCCTAAAGAGTACATGCTTTAAACACTATGAGTTTATTAAAGTACTTAGAATAGTTTTAGATTTTACTTGTTGTAGGGAGTGTATCTATAAAAACCTTCAGTGGAGCAGCAAGTTAACCCGCCACCTGGAACAGCCACATCCCGTATCAGAACGCAGGTTCCAGTCCCAGCTACTCTGCTTCTGGTCCTGCTTCATGCCAATGCACCCTAGGATGCCAATGCATCCTAGGACGCGGCAGAGGATGGCTCCCGTGCTCGGGAAATCCAGGTGGAGCTCCTGGCTCCCGGCTTCAGCCTGGCCCAACCCTAGCTGGTGCAGGCATTTGGGGGAGTGAAACTGCGAATGGAAGCTCTCTCCATCTCACCCTCCCGCCCCACCTTTCAAGTAGATGAAAATAAATAAAAATAAGCATTTAAAAAATAGAACCCTTCAGAGGCCCTGGGAGCATTCCCGCCGAAGAGCTCTGAATGTTCTTTCGACAGACACTCAACTTCTTGCTTTCAACTTCCTGTCGCCAGGTTAGGGTCTATGTCCCTCTCTCCACCCCAAATTACAGTGTTTGAATATCAGTAATAAACTGGCCAGTTGCTCATCTATGGGACAGAACTAAAAATATTTCAGTAAAACTACAGAACTTACAAAGCATTCGCCCCAATGAAACACAGCTCTTACTCCCTGTGATCGTGCACGTAGTATCACCTGGCCCTCCTGGTGGAGAGAGAGGCTGCAAGTATGATTCCCTCCTCAGAGCCCTGCCACCTGCCCGCAGGGTGCCATGGCCAGGGTGCCGCTGGCCACAGGGCACGGTCACTCACCGACACACAGGATGTTGAAACAGAAGCCTTGCGACGTAGACTTGTTGACCAGCTGATCAGGGAGACTGTCGAATCCAACATGGCCAGAAAGGGACAAGTTCCGAAGTTCTTCATTCTGGAATTGAAGAGGAGGAAAAATGGGGGGCCCTCCTTCCCGGCCCTTGCGTACCCGAAATAGGAAGCCCCCCCCCCCCCCCCCCCCCCCGTGACATTCTCCTGGGACCCACACCCTCCTCGGTTGCTACTCAACTGAGGGCATAGAATGACTCCAAAGCCACACCCCCACCACAAAATCAGAGTCCCCCAGTGCAGACCACCTCCCAGGGGATTTCATTCCTTGTTACCAGTGTCCTGGTCCAGGGAGGTTTGAGCTTCTAGGTATTTCACATATGCTATTTCACATACACACTCACTGACATCGAAGAAAAAACGCCAACTATTTTGATTGCTCCCATCATTCAACAAAAACTTCCAGTTTGCCTTTAACCCAGGCAATATCCATCCATCCGTCCATCCATCCATCCATCCACACATACATCATTTCTTCCAGATACACAAAGAGGTTTTGAGAAGCTCACAGTGGAGGATACACACTTGTTACAATAGTGGCAACATGGTGACCACCACAAAGCAACTCCTCAACACAGCAGCTGGTTCCCTGACTTTCCTGTTTTCCATTCTCAGCTCCTGGCACAGGTTTTTCGCTCACCAGAGCCTGTCAGGGTGCCCTGATGGAGACCAGCGTAAGGGGGTTATCGTGCATTTCAAAAGCGGGACGACTGATGCTGTCACACAGGCAGTGCTAACTGTCCCCACAGGGGCTGGAGGCGCTCTGTGAAATCCTTCTTTCCCAGGAAACATGAGCTCATCCAGGGTCCTTCAGCTGAGACCCCATGCTGGTGGTCTGCAACCCCAGACACTAGATACTGCGCCTCCCTGGGGATGAGACCCCTGGTGTCCTGGCTGGGTTGCCGATGAACTTCACGGTCCCAGTACTGGGGCCCAAGTGACGAAAGGAGCCGCAAAGCTCTGTTGTTTTTGTTTTTTGTTTTTAAGCAAAAAAGAAAAGCCTTTGCACTCAGTGTTTTAAAAAGACTGGTTTTCATTATCGTCCTATTTTTATATTATATCATTACAATTTTTATTTAAAATAATCAAGGACTGAGATCCCATTTTTAAATTTCTATGGTTACAACATAGGCGCAGAAATGCAATTCCATAAATAAAGTGACTTTAATGGCTTTGCAAACAATAGAATGTCTAACGGCCACACCAGCTCTCAAATTCTGATTCTGTGAAGTGCAACTCAAAACCGTCAACCCTGCCCGAACACGGTGGTGGCAGCTGCAGGTCTGAGGTCAATGGGACAGAGAACAGATGTCGCATCTATGAATAGCTCCCTTGAAACCTGCCAACAGTGAACATGAGGCTGGAGAGCAGGACAACATAGTCAACCACCTGCCCAAGAGTGGATGGGCGGCCGTCCTGGGAGCTGGACAAGCCTCCCCGCCACAAGCGAGAACCTGCCCCTTCCCCTTTAGGTACCCCAAAGGTTCAGACAGCAGGTATTTTTAGGGTGCTTACCACATCCGCCAAGGCTGGGGGTAGAGGATCTCGGCGAGTCCTGGGTTATATTTAGATTCTTCCCATGCAGCTGTGCGGTGGCTGCTTCGGAGAGACTAGGAGAAGCCACCAGCCCAGGCTTCCTGCTACTGCATCGTCGACTGATACAGGGAGTGACCGCATGGAAGGAGATGAGGCTGGGAAGGGCCATCCTCCCGCACTCCCTCTGCTCTGCCCCCAGACTTTGCGGGGGAAGTGGGGATGACTGTAGTCTCTGGCTTATTGGGTTTCTAGATATCAGATATCCAACCTGAGCCAACCCTGGGAAAGACTCGGTTAGCAATTATAGCTCTCATCCCAGAACCCAAAGCTCAGCCTCTCATATTCTCACCGTTTTCCAAAACATCAGAAACCACCCACATACCCACCAAGTATTTTTATACCCATTGAAAACCACATACAAAATGAAGGGTTATAAAACTGTTTCGGCTGAAATTTTTTTTTTTTAATTTAAAGCTCTGGCTTTAGAGTCCCTGTCTCTAACTTGTAATATATAATACATATAAATTCCATAACACAGCTTTTAAACTTCATCATTTGAGCCTAATTCTCAGCCCAGGATCAAAGGAATCCTGAGAGCCACTGGCCACCCGTGTGGGATGGGGGAGGGAGAGGAGGAATTTCCTGCTTTGGTTCGTGAACAGCCTGTGAAACTGGACAGCACTGGAGGACACACACCCGGCAGCTCTGAGCACCGTACCTGGGACTCCCGCCGCAGCGGACCCGAATCCCCACACCCCAGCACTGGACAGTGCTTCTTGCCTTAGCTAAGGAGTCTGGGCTTCTCTTTTGCACCTAGAGGTCTCGTCTTTCGGAACTGCCAATCCTCAAGTCCCGAGCAGTGTCACAGCCTCGTTTTACCGCCAATACAAAACTCCTGCCCTGGATTCCATTCTGACTTCTATCACAGAGGTTTTCCTATCTGTATTTCAACCTGGTGGTTCTGAAACTGAAACCGCACGCCTCTACCCCAGACTCACCCTTCCCCACGATTCCCGATTTCTGTCAATGCTGTGTCCCTCTCTGGCCATCCATCGAGTCCCAGGTGTTCCCAATGCCACATCCTTTCCATCTCTATTCCTACTGGTTCAACAGCCTCCCACTGGTGCCCAATGACTTGATCTCACCCTCAAAGGCTCCCAGCCCCACCCCTTCACTTGCCATCTCTGGGCCTCCCTTGGGCTGACTCTGGTGTCCATTCCCCCTCAATCTCCCACCTCTCCCCCAGGGGGCCCCCTCACACAGAATTGCTATTTCTGGGACAAAGTCGGGTTTCCCTCCATCAGTGTTGTACACACCGTGCTTCCTCCACCTGGAGGGCCTCGTTCATACCTACACCTCCACATCCCAACCTTCCGGATCTCACTGAAATTTCAACTCCATCATCATCCTTAGTATGAAATCTCAGGCGTAACTTCGGCAAACACTACTCTCACCAAGGACAGAAAATCTTGCTTGAACAAGGGCGGCTTAAGCTATGTGGCACCCCCAAATCCCGACTATAACAGCTAATGTTTGTTGACTCTTCACCATGTCTCAAAGAGGCCGACAACGGGAATGAACCGAGTTCTCTTAACAATTCTATGAGGGTGTTGCTACTGTTACCCAACCTCAACTTACAGATGAGGAAACGGGGGTGGGGGGGCAGAGTTTAGTAATGTGTAAGGTCACACAGCTGGTGGGGTTGAGGAGCTCAAATTCAAACACAGGAAGTCAGAGGCCGGACTTGTCGCACTTAGTCACTGCTATCTCACAGCCATCTAAGGAGTGCCAGGGCAGCCCAGACACTGCAGGGCTTTTCCTCTTGTACTCACAGGTCCTGTCCCAAGGAACTGTATGTATTCTCAAATCGTTACCAGTATCACATCTGGAACTGACTCTCTGAATTTTATCTCCAATATCGCACTCTTTTCCTACCTATTAACCCAATACATTAAAATAGAACAAAAATATTCTCTAAAACCATAATTCTTTGGCAATCCTAAGACTTGGCAGAGTAGCTCTGAGGATATCTTCAGCGGTCCTGGCAAAGCCAAGGCCAGGCTTTGGTTTTTGCAGCTGTGACACATGAAGCCCATAATATACGGCTTAGTTCTAACCGTTCCTGAAAGTGCCAGCCTGAAGCCACTACGGGAGTGACTGTAATACCTTCACTGAGGAGGCTCTGCATTTGCGAATCCATCTGGTGCGGGCTTGCTGCCCCGCCCACTGCCACCTGAAGGGGTTACAGCTGAACTAAACGCTGCAGTATCAAATGAAAACCCAGCCTTGAGCGTAGCCATCTCCTTCTCTACTTAGAGCACCTCCTCTTGGATCTAATTATTTAAGGATAAATTGGTGAACATCATGGCTGTAACTACAGAAAGACATAGGGCCAGAAAGTGCTTTTGGCTACAGAAATTCAAGTGCAACTTTGAGGAAGACTGAAGCTCACCAAAGGCTACCAGTGGAACACAAGCCAGCTTCCAGAAGCCTTTTGCATGCTTTGGCCAAAGGGTTGCTCTACTGTGTGTGCATCCACCGAAGCTCCTAACTGACGAGGATTCTCAAAGGTGCTCAGCTGACTTCACTATTAAGATAACTGAGTGCTGCCGTAAGATATGCGCCAGGGTTCCACATCCTGCTTAAGCAGAGAAGGACGGTGATCGGCATGGAGGCAGGCAGATGTGGGCTTCAAGCCCAGCTCTGCTTCCTTCTGGCTTTGGTCTCTGTTCCGTCCTCAGTAAAAATGGAGCCCTTGGCACAGAAGCCAGGAGGAAGCAAAGAAACTGCCTATATGAGGGGGCCGAGCATGCAACAGGTCCACAGGAAATCTGGGTTTCCTTGCCATTAAATTAGGTGGGAGGAGGAGACCATTATAATTTTAAAAGCTGAAATGAATTGAGAGTTCTGGGGTTGCTGCCTGGTATCCCAGGAGAAGCTGCTGACCAACAAAGCTCAGGACTGAACGACAAAATAAAGTCACAAGGGAAGAACGGGGTCAATAGAAAGTGCAAGACAGAAAGCCTAAAGACCATCCACTCCTAGGTAGGATCCTTGTTCACACAGCTGGAGAAAGGGAAGGCATTTGGTGCAGCGGTAAGACACTGCTTGGGACACCCACAGCCCATCAGAGCGCCTGGCTTCAGTCCACTTCTGATTCCAGCTTCCTGCTAATACGCACCCTGGGAGGCAGCGGTGACGGCTCAAGCTCAGGATGGAGTTCTGGGATTTTACAGGCACTCAGAGTGTGAACAAGCAGACGGGAAATTTCTGTCTCTTCCTCTTCCTCTCCCCCCTCCTCTTGCTTTCAAAAAAAAAAAAAAAAAAAGGCTGGAGGGAAAGCCACAGAATTGCATCCCCTTTTACAGCATCTGCGGTGAACAGCTGGAAGCCACTCCATTCCCCAGACTCACTTTGGCTTCTGTTTTAGTCCAGGGCTGAGTCCCCTTGACGTTTCAAAGCTGGATGTGCCCCAATGGAGTCCATTCAGCACACCCAAAGCAGAGTGCG